GCCCGATGCGGGACTCGATCCTGGGACTCCAGGATCATGACCTGAGCCGAAGGCAGTCGCTTAACCGACTGAGCCACCCAGGCACCCTAAAATTATTTTTTTAATAATTAACTCGTGATACCAAGTTATAAAATATGATTTGCAGAAATGTATACACATACATTTTATCAAATATTCTTAAGATACTTTGGAGTAATTTGCCCAGGAGGCTGTGAAGGAACACCAACTACTGCAATAAGGTGTTCTTTCCTCACTCTGTGTGTGTGTGTATGTGTGTGTATCATGTTCTCATGCTCTTGCACACGCTTGTACTCTTTTATTTCCTTTGAGGTCTGACTCTCCTCTTTCCAGCACAAATAATGATTAAAAGGAAAAAAGCCAAATATTTCTCTAATTCTTTTGAGGATGTTTTAGAACAATAATTATACTAGTTTTTATAGATGTCTTTGTGAAATGGTGCAAATATTCCCATTTTTATGATAGATTTATCAGGAACAAAGAACTTACTTTAAATTCCATAGCAGGTTCAAAGCAAAGAAAATATGCACATATTGCCATAGGAAACTAGCTATCTACAGCCAGAAGAGCTGCTTGTTATGGTTTAAATAGAAGGTTTATGGTGAAATTGGTATCCCCTGGGGAAGGCTGTCACCACATTCTAGGCATTTATCTTCAATTTGATTATTTGAATGTTGGTATACCCAGAAGTGAAGTGATTGGACTTAGTTGGTTGGATGTGTGTGTGTGCGTATGTGTATATATGTAGCAAGAACCAGCTCACATACTGATCCAACTCACTGTTGACTGAAGTATAAAATCCATATGTCACTTTGTTAATTTATAGTGAGAAATACTGTCTTGAGAAAGGGACCAAATACTTGGGTTCATGAATCAGGGCAGTGTTTCCTGTAAATTATGTCTTATTTGAAGACAAAAGTAGAAGTAGAAAATACATAGTGGATATATGAAAATAACAAAAAGAATAGGTGATCTTAGTAAAATGTAGTTGAACAAGTTTGAAGCATTTCTTTCCTCTTTGGAGAGATCCACAAAAACATGTTTATGGTCTGGATGCTTTCCACCTTCATAGTGCTAGAGTCACTAAACATGTTTGCCTCCATGGTTCTTCTTTTTCTTTGCTTCTGTTACTGACCACCTGCCTGTTCATTGACCCCTTCATTTGGGTTACCTCATTTCTGCCAAGCCATTCCTCCCTTTAAGGAGACCTTACACTGTTTATTTATATGATTCCATTATGAGATGAAGGGGATGGGGGCTGACAGTCTCAATGTTGCCTTCATTTATTGCTTACACATATGATAATTCTTATACTTTTTAGGTACCGGGAAGCCAGTGTGGAAGTGATGAGGATAATGTCTCGTTTTGCTGGGATTGAACGTGGCAGCATTGATGAGGCTTATATAGACCTGACCAGTGCTGTACGAGAGAGGCTACAAAAGCTACAAGGTCAGCCTATCTCAGCTGAGCTGTTGCCAACCACCTACATTGAAGGGTTGCCCCAAGGCCCTACAACAGCAGAAGGGACTGATCAGAAAGGTACTTCCATAGCGTCATATGCTTCTGCTTCCTGCCTTTGGAATCTGCTTTGCTTGGTCACGCTGATCCTTCTTGGATTGATTGAAAGGAAACTTAAACTACAACCTGAATGAATCACAAGGACTCGTGTGGAAGGATATACAAATTCTCTTATGTTTCCAGGCATATGGATGTTGAGAAGCTGTGAAATCTGTATGAAATCAAGTTTCTATTTAGATATAAACTAGAGCAGGTTTTTTTTTTTCTTTTTTTAAGATTTTATTTATTTATTTGACAGAGACACAGCGAGAGAGGGACCACAAGCAGGAGGAGTGGGAGAGGGAGAAGCAGGCTTCCCGCTGAGCAGGGAGCCCGATGCGGGGCTTGATCCCAGGACCCTGGGATCATGACCTGAGCCGAAGGCAGACGCTTAACGACTGAGCCACCCAGGCGCCCTAAACTAGAGCAGGTTTGAGTTATCAGTAGACTGAGCATTTCTGTCATTTGTAGGTTAATTTATAATGCAGTAACTTGGTTTCTTTATCATTTAAGTTTTTTTTTTTTAAGATTTTATTTATTTATTTGACAGAAAGAGAGAGCGCACAAGCAGGGGGAGCAGGAGAGGGAGAAGCAGGCTTCCCACAGAGCAGGGAGCCCAATGCGGGGCTCAATCCCAGGACCCTGGGATCATGACCTGAGCCGAAGGCAGACGCCTAACCACTGAGCCACCCAGGCGCCCCCATCATTTAAGTTTTTTTAAGGGGGACCTCAAGTATAGGGAGTTGAGTCACTCAGAATTTCTGATCAATTTATAGTTAAATATTGGGGCGCCCGGGTGGCTCAGTCAGTTAAGTGTCTGTCTTCAGCTCAGGTTATAATCCCAGAGTCCTGGGATCAAGCCCCATGCAGGGCTCCCTGCTCAGTGAGAAGCTTGCCTTTTCCTCTCCCTCTGCCCGTTCTTTCCTCCCACCCCCGCTTGTGTGTTCTCTCTCTCTCTCTCAAATAAAAAATGTTTTTTAAAAATGTACAGTAGGGGTGCCTGGCTGGCTCAGTCGTTAAGCCTCTGCCTTCAGCTCAGGTCATGATCCCAGGGTCCTGGGATCGAGCCCCTCATCGGGCTCCCTGCTCTGCGGGAAGCCTGCTTCCCCCTCTCCCACTCCTCCTACTTGTGTTTCCTCTTTCACTGTGTCTCTGTCAAATAAATAAATAAAATCTTTAAAAAAATAAAAATGTATAGTAAAATATCAGTGGACTGTGCAATGCCTCTCTCATTTTATTTATTTTCCTTTCCCCTTCATAGTGATTTCCCCCCACTCCCTCCCTACCCAACCCAGCTTCTGGCACCCACTGATGTGTTTGGTGTATCTTTTTAAATGTGTATGTCTTTACAAATTGTACAGTGTTGCTTTGTGTATGTGCTTTTAAAATTTGTGCTTTTTAATTAAAAGACAGTACTGTGTTATAGATCTTATTCTTGTTTTTTATTTTTTTAATTTTAATTCCAGTATAGTCAACATACAGTGTAGATCTCATTCTTTTTCTTAATTTTCCTTCAGTGATGATTTTATAGATCTTCCCATGTAGTTGTATTTATGTGTAATTGATTGCTTTTAATTGTAATCCATGGTATGGACCTATCATGTTTACAGACCAGTCTACTAGTGATGCACTCATTTGTTACTTCTTTTTTTTTTTTTACTGTTTATATGATAAATATCCTCATTCATCCTCTTTTGGACCGATGCAGGGGTTTCTCTGAGAAATGTTTTTAGGAGTGGACTGTTAGGTCATAAGGCATACACATACTTAGTTTCACTAAATACTGCCAAATCATTTCCCAGAATGGCTGTAACAGTTACCCTACTCCTGAAGTACACAAGAATTCCTGTTGCCCTCATATCCTCACCAGCAATTGCTATTTTCTAATGTTTAAAAATATTTTCAATGTGATGGCTATAAAGTGGTATTTCATGTTTGGTTTTTTTATCCATTGATTTATTTAATGAACTCACAACTTATCTTATTCATTGGGTTACAATCCATTATTACTATTATTAATTTCAATGCTCAATTTGGCCTGAATTTTGCAATGCCTTCCCTTCAAGTTGGTTCCTGTATTCTTTTTTTTTTTTATTTAACATAAAATATATTATTTGTTTCAGGGGTACAGGTCTGTGATTTGGTATTTCTTGTTTTTGGTTTGTTTAAATTTATATTTCTCTATTTACCAATTGAAGTTGAGCATTTCTTCATATACTTGTTAGCTAATTGAGTTTCTACTTTTGTCAATTGCTTATTTATAATCTTTACCCAATTTATCATTGGATTTCCTGCCTTTTTTGTTTTGCAGGAGTTCCTTTTATATTGCAGTTATTAGTCCCTTTTCTATTTTTGACATTGCAAATATCTTCTCCCAAATCTGTCATCCACAAACTTTGTTTAGGCTATACTTTGTTGAACAAAATTCTTTTAGTCCATCAATTTTTCACCTTATGGTTTATGCATTTTGAATCTTGTTTTAGACATCCATTTCTACTAGAAGTTCATTAAGACCTTTTTCTACACTTTTATTTGCCTTACAATTTATTTTTAGGTTTTTTTGACTATGTGGAGTTCACCTTTTTATTTGAGTTTATAAATAAAAATCTTATTCTTACTATTTTTATTTTTTAATGTTCTTACAATTATAGAGCCTGTCTTCCAAACAATTACTTATTAAATAATTCATTCTTTCCCGACTTCACATATAAAATATAACTGGGTCAATTTCTTTTTTCTTTTTTTTTTTTTTTAAGATTTTATTTATTTATTTGACAGAGACAAAGCAAGAGAAGGAACACAAGTAGGGGGAGTGGGAGAGAGAGAAGCAGGCTTCCCACCGAGCAGGGAGCCCGATGCGGGGCTCGATCCCAGGACCCCAGGATCATACCTGAGCCGAAGGCAGACTCTTAATGACTGAGCCACCCAGGCGCCCCTGGGTCAATTTCTGTAGTATCCCATTTGTCTGTCTGCTCCTGCTCCAGAAACACACTTTTTTTTATTACTGTTTGTAGTATATTTGGTAAGGACTCCCCTCTGCTTTTGTTGTTCAAAATTGTCTTAGCTATATATGTGCCTTTGTTGCTTAGTGTGCATATTAGAATACATTAGCTGAACTCCTCAAAAAATTGTGATGAGATTACATTGAATTTATATATTACAGAGGATAGTTATCTTTTTTTTTTTTTATAAGTAGGCTCTGTGCCGTGTGGAGCCCGGCACGAGGTTTAAACTCAAGATCCTGATATCAAGACCTGAGTTGAGATCAAGAGTCAGACTCTCAACCAACTAAGCCACCCAGGCAACCCCAGAGAGGATAGTTATCTCAATGTTAATTTATGCCATCCATAAACCCATATCACCAATTTTTAGGTCTTCATTTGTGTCCCTTTTAATGTTTTTTTTTTTTTAAGCTAAAAAGTTTTAGCTGTTGTAGTATTTTTACTTTTTCTGAGCTCTGTAATCCAGTATATTTGCCTTTCTCTTTCTCATCTACACCTTTATTTGATATAATACACATAAAGTGTACAAATTGCAATTGTATTCCATAACTAATTTTCACAAAGTAAACCCACCTTTTTAAGAACCACCCAAATCAAAAAACAAAACCAGAACCTTAGAAGGAACACCTGCCTACATTTCCAGTCACTATCCATTCCTTTTTCCATTCTACAGTAACCACTGTCCTGATTTCTATTTAGCTTATTTTTGAACATTATAAAATTGAAATCATTCAGTGTATATTTAAGTCTGGCTTCATTTGGTCAACACTGTCTTTGTGAGATTCATCCATTCTGTTGTATATAGTTGAGTTTGTTTATTCTCATTACTGTGTAGTATTGCATTACATGAATATACCACAAATTATCATTCCTACTGCTGTTGGGTATTTGGGTTGTTTCCAATTTGGGGCTACTAAGAATAGTGCTGCTATGAACATTCTTATAAATATCTTTGGTGAACAAATGTATGCATTTCTGTTGGGTATATGATTAGAAGTGTTCAATTGTAAGATTTCCTAAAACCAGTTTTAGTTTGCTTATAGTCAGCTTTAGTAGGTACTGCCAAACAGTTTTCCAAAATGGTTGTACCAATTTATAATCCCACTAGTAGCATATATAAAAGTTCCAGTTGTTTCACATCCTTTTCAGCACTTGCTTTTTTCCTCTTTTGCATTTTAGCCATTTTGATGGGTGTGTAGTGATGTCACTGGTTTTAGTTTGTTTGTCGCTGGTCTTAATGAAGTTGAGCACCTTTTGTAAGTTTATTCACCATTTTGATATCTTCTTTCATTAAGTACCTATTTAAATCTTTTGCCCATTTTTTTGTTGTTGGATTATCTTGTCTCATTCATCTGTAGGACTTCTTTGTATAGTCTGGAAATGAATCCTTTATTAATATATGTATTGCAAATATCTTCTGGTCATTGCCTTGTTTCTCATTCTTTTACTGGTGGCTTCTGATGAACAGAGGTTCTTAATTTTAATTTGGTCCATGTATCTTTTTTTTTTCTTTATGGATAGCATTTTTTATGTGCTATTTAAGAAGTACTTACCTACCTCAAGGTTACGAAGCAATTCTGCTGTCTTTTTTTAGAAGCTTTATTGTTTTGCTTTTCACATTTAGATTTACGATCCATTGTGTATGTGTCTATAGGGTGTGAAATGGGGATCAAAATTCCTTATTATGTGAGTGTCCAATTATTATATATTTATTAAAGCTTTACTTTTTTTTTTACAAAGGTCTAATGCATTCATGTGTTGTGTTAGTTCCTAGATGCTTTAATTTTTTTATTGCTATTTTTTAACTTTTTTCTATTTTATTTTATGCTTGGTTATTGATGTGTAGGGGAATGATAAGTGATTTTTTTTTTTATAAGTTCATCTTTACTTTACCTACCTGACAAAAACTTGTGATATATAGGCATACCTCAGAGATATTTCAGGTTTGGTTACCGACAATCCACAATAAAGGAAATATCT